CCTCCGCCTGCTCATGTCATCCAAAGTTGATGCCAACGCCCTTTCAAACAAACATCGTTCCTGAACCAACGCCACCTTTGTAGTTTTTATCCTTTACAGCTCTAGTAATAAGCCCGCCCAGTGTCTCTCTACAAACATAGAGTGCTGTAATTGGCCTGACCTAAAACCGTACAAGCCAATGGAAAACCTGCTGAGGTTACAATGGAGTGTGGCCAGTAGAGTAAAATCTTTTGTTACCGCTACAACTGATTTAGATTTCTAGGCTAGCAAAACACCGTTATCTGGAGCATCTAGGGGTCAAATCCAGACTGAAACTGTAAAACCAAATTTAAATGTTCAAAAGTTTTATGAACCTGTGTTTGCATGAACTGCTATTAAGTTTTGATGATTAGAGATTATTTTACCACAACAGAAGTCTGCTTCAAATGTGGAGCCAGTCTGATCTACATGTTACTTTAGTTAAAAAAAAACACCAAACAACCATAGAAATCCATGCAAGTAAATGCCATGTGTAATCATGTGATATAAATCCATAAAATATTGCTCACTCACAAAGTTTTGCAGAATGGAGCTGATTTAAGACCTCAGCAGCACACTTGCTGAGGCTCAGCTATTAGGTAAATTTCTGTTTATCTAAAGGCTGATTCCAATTCAACAAAATAAAATTACAGAGAAAAAGTATCTATGGAAACATCAAACATTCCTCCAGGCTTTTGGTTTCCTTTCAGCTCTGCTGCTGAGTGCTCGTAGTGAGTGGTTTCAGTGCACACACATTTTACGGTAATATTCTAGGAAAGTACCAATACTCCATTGCAGAAAAGCTTAGCATGTCCCATTTGAGTCATCACTGTTATTGTTTCCTTGGTGCTCTGAAGGACACCGTTTACCTGCTCCAGCCAGTCACAACACACCATTTGGCAGAGGTGTGGAGTCAAGTCACATGACTTGGACTCGAGTCAGACTCGAGTCATTATTTTAATGACTTCTGACTTGACTTGATAAAATCTCTAAAGACTTAAGACTTAACTCGGCCTTGAACTCCAGTGACTTGCAACTTGAATCGACTTGCATCTGTTGACTTGATGATGACTTGAGCATATTTGATATTTTAGCACAAAAGTGGCCCGACATGGACAAAAATCATAAATCATTCTTGGTTCTGGGTTTGATTCACTGCTAACTGCAGCAGCACTTTGTTTATAACCAGTTTCAGTTGCACTTTCTGCTTGTTTGAGCAAATAAATGAAGCTTTAAGAAGCTTTATTTCTGGAATTTATTTATTATCATCGTCATTAAACTAAACTTGGACAGATGACTTGATTATGACTAGAAAATTCAAAGTTAAGGACTTGGACTTGACTTGGACTTCCAAATCATTGACTTTGGACTCGACTTGGACTTGGTTGTCTTTGACTTGGACTTGATTCAAGACTTGACTGGAAAGACTTGTGACTTACTTGTGACTTGCAAAGCAGTGACTTGGTCACACCTCTGCCTTTTGGTGCCCTTACCAACAAACTGAATGCTTTTGCACAGCGAAGCCCTTTCAGAGGCAGCGTGTGAAGAGTGTGAGCATTGCTGGCCATATGAGAAACCAGTTCCAAGAAACTAAGACCCATGTTCCCCCGTAAACACAGCAGCAGCAGCGATCTTCTGACTTCTCTTTCCTTTGGCTTCCATCAACTCCCTCTCATCACAGACGTGAAACACAGAGCATTATATCTTGTATGTTCCTAGACAGCCACCGTATTTCAAGGCAGTGCATGACGATGGAGGGTTTACCACAGTTTGTGTGTATGAAAATGTAAAATTTCAAGCTAATAGACAGATTTAGAATAAACATTGTTGAGAAATATTAATTGAAAAGGACTCGTTTGTGAACGGATACACATAATTTGATTGTTAACAAGTAGGAATATTACACACAGTGCCTTTAAAGATGGATTTAAGTTAACAGTGCCAACAAACACTGAAATTAATTATCGAAATCAAAGGAAAAGTGTACTAAGTTAGAATATTGAAATGATAACTAATATTCTCTTGAAGTATTTCTCTTGTGCCAATCTGGATCTAGCCGCTGAGGGAAAACTGATTTATTGTTGTTTTTTCCTCTTGAAAGCATGCAACTCTTCCATAATCAACAAAATAATTGGGACACTTTGTTCTCTGCGTGCCACCAACAGAGCCGAAGAGCCGCAGTGGAGCACTATTCATGGTTCTGCAACATCTCCAGGTCAGAGTTGAGGGAGTTTCACTTTTCATGCATTACAGCTGCGACCCTCCTCTAATAACATGCATTACTGAGTCACTGGGTGCTGCATTCCAGCAGAGGCAGTAAAAACAGTACATGCTCAGAACATTACAACCGGCTCGGTCCACAACCGTCCAACCAGATGGGAATTCAGCTCATTTGATAGGTTGCTTTTTAAATTGTTCACAAGAATTAAGTGTGAACCTATCTGTTCAGTTCATCCAACAATGGACGCTTTTTTCTAAATATATTTATTTAAATTCTCATTTCTTTCTTTGTTCATTTTCCTATTATGAATAGTTTTAAGCAGATTTCTGCTTTTGTGGAAACGACTCCGCCCTGCTGGGTGGGGTGGGTGGGTGGGGGCGTGATGGCTCGTGGCAATTTGTCCACCCCGTCGGTCATCAGGCCGGAGGGACGGGGGTGAAGGCGACCTCACATTGGGTAAGTGGCCCACCGTAGTAGACATTCCCCCCCAGGACGATGCCAGATGACCAGTCTACTCCTGCTGGTTGTCATTTCTCTCAGATTCTCACACAGAAGCTCCTACCTCCCAGTTTACAAGTCCTGAGATTCTCAGCTCTATGTCAAATCATGCCGTGTGATCCGTTAAGTCCGGATTACACGGCATGATTTTTAAATTGTCAGATTTTCTTAGCAACGGATGAGGGAAATCCAGCACTACTGGTCCTGTTGGATCTCCCAGCAGCCTTTGATACCGAGGACCATGAAGTGCAGCTCAGGTTTCATTTCAAGATCCTGGTTCTGGTCTATAGGGCCTTACATGGACAAGCACCATCTTACATTGCTGATCTTCTTAGTCCCTACACCCCCAGCAGGTACCTGAGGTCCAGTGACCAAAGCCTACTGGTTGTGCAACACCAGGCTAAAGGTCAAAGGTGAAAAATCATTTGCTGCTGTGGCTCTGGAACTCTCTCCCCCTGAGCCTGAGATCAGTGGACTCAGTGGTCTCCTTTAAAAAGCAGCTGAAGACTCACTTGTTCAAGCTGGCTTTTGTATGACCTTCTTCACCACTCTCTCTTTATTCTGCTCTCCCACTTATTCCACCTTCCTCAGGATCCACTGATTTCCCTCTTTCCTGTTCACTCTCTCTCTTTCTTAACATTCTTTTTAACCACAATTGTCAATTTTTTGCTCATTTTAAATATATTTTTAAACATTTTCTAAATGCTTTTTAATATTTTTACATTTTTTGTATTTGTGAAGCATTTTTATCTTGAGAGGCGCTATAGAAATGATACATTCTTCTTCTTGTTCTTGTTCTTGTTCTTTTTCTTCTTCTTTTTCTTCTTCTTCTTCTTCTTCTTCTTCTTCTTCTTCTTCTTCTTCTTCTTCTAGAGCAGTATGTAGGAATTTCTGGTCTAGCCTTGAGCTGGCTCAGATCATATCTCCAGGACAGGATGGTCTGTGTGGGGATGGGTGACTTTTCCTCTGCCTTTCGCACATCTGCCCTGTGGGGTCCCACAAGGTTCGATTCTGGGACCACTGCTGTTCTCAATTTATATGCTGCCACTGGGTGACATCCTGCAGAAGTATAGAAATGGCTTCCATTTCTATGCAAATGACTACCAAAAACTTTATGTCTCTGCTTGAATCTCTGCTCCGAGAGCTGGTTGCTGCCGGTGGCTCCTAGAGCTCAGCTAAAAACCAGAGGGGATAGGGCGTTCTCCATAGCAGGACCAACACTGTGGAACGCACTTCCCCTATCTGTAAGGCACTCTCCATCAGTAGCAGTTTTTAAAACAAGGTTGAAGACCCACTTTTATGGTTTGGCTTTTAACTTTCTGGGTTAGATGCTGGTAATCTTTTACATGATTTTTCTGTTTTTACTTGTTGGCTTTAAATGTCTTTGGTGATTTCATCAGTTTTAATTTGTTACTGTGCAGCACTTTGGTGGCATGCCTTATGCATGTAAGGGGCTCAATGAGTAAAGCTGATGATGATGATGATGATGATGATGATGATGCATTTATCACACACGGTTTGATAAAAAAACATGGATTTACCAGTGGTCCTACCGTGTGTGGTGGTGAGCAACAACTCAGTAAATACACACTACACACAGGCAGCTTTCACTCACAAACATTCCTCGCTCAAATAGAAAATCTTGCGAGATAAAATGTGAGTTCAAAGTAAACAAACGGAGGAGGGGTGTGCTGCGTACGAACATCACCTCACTCTCTGATTGGTTACATGTCACATTCAGCAGGCAGTGAGTTTGTTTCTCCCCAAAAGCAGACCAAGACAATCCAACATGTCCGAAAGTCCAGATTAATTGTTAGAGTGGTCCAGATGTGCTTATGGGTAGACCAGAGAGCTCATAACACACCACAAATGGAATGATTATCTTGAGAGCCGTAACAGGAATTGTGTGCAGTCTTTAAGATTGTGGAAAAGTGAGAAGCGTTTGAAAAGTGGGCATAATTATCCTTTCCTGTGAACTGGGCCCAACTCCCATTCTTTGTTTCCCTGTTTGGCTGCTTTTGTTTTTCTTTCTGGTTGTTTGTTCTTTGCCCTATTGTTTTGTTTTAAAAACTTTTTTGACGTACTCCTGAAACCTCCAAAGTCTTCGCTTTAGGAAACACCACGCATCCTCATGCAGCTTCACATCAGAATCCCTCACTTTTTGAGACATTTCCATAACCAATTCTTGACTCACTGCTAGTTGACAAAATTGTAACTGACACTGCAAACTACAAACCTTTACTTTATATTTATTTGCTTACAGAATGATGTCTTCCATGCAAACAACTCCTTCCTTCCACCCACCGCCCGAGGAGGAGGAAGTGATTGGCCAGGACAACACATCCTGGGCCGCCGAAGAGCGAGCCAGCTTGAAGGAGACGTCGTCTCCTTTACATGATCTGCCCCACCCAGATGAACCTCAGTCTGCCAGAGAGAAACCAACAGACGCTGGGTGGGAGAACGTCAGCCCTGCTGTGATGGTAAGTCCGGAATGTGAGCTACGTTGCTGTACCTCAGATCTATAAAACAAACTGTGTGTGCACGGAGAACACACTTGGGGAATGCAGTTCATAAAACACTCATGAAACACATGCTGGAGTATGCAGGGTGTACAATTTCTCATGCATAATAATGATCGTGGACTCTTGTGCGCCCACTTTTGAAATGCATGTATATACAAACCTAGACAGAGCACACACACTCACACAACAGCGCTTGTCTGTGGTCTGTTTGCTGCAGGCAGTGCTGTAGGCGACCCACTGAGGGTCCTCCTCCAGAGGGTTATACCCCAGATTCTTCTCATCTCCACAGCGTGTTTTCAGGTGTTGCTCTCTCTCTCTCTGTGTGTGTGTGTGTGTCTATGTGTGTGTGTGTGTGTGTGTGTGTGTGTGTGTGTGTGTGTGTGTGTGTTGAGTTAGCCGTTACTTGGCTTCAGGTTCTCTTGGTCCCACATGGATGAAGCAGGTTTGACTTGAGTTTCTGAGTTGAGAAAAGTTCTTGGAATCATTATCATGGCACAAACTCATCTCATGTTTCCATGACAACAAGGTTTCAAATGAGATGTTTCTATTACATCGCGCTGAAATTGTATCCTTCTTATATTTTCAGTTTCCTATTGCATCGTCAAATTTTTAAGAGCAATCAAACTTTACAAAAACTTTGATTTTACTTTGCTTCAGCGTCAAGGTTCAAAGCTACCTCAAGGCGAAAATGTTCTTCAGTCCTGGAAATCCTGACAGAAAGCGGTGTTGTGTGCTTGTAGCTGAACAAAAGTTTACCTCCATAAATCAGGAAGAGGCTAACCATCAGCTCTCTTAATGCAACCAGAGCAGATTAATTTTTATTGCCAGCTGAAACACTTTTTCAAACGATTCCGAAAACAGATCCTGTGCAGATCAGTTCCTGTGCCTTGCTCAAGAGCGATTTACAAAGTCACACGTGTTGTCCCGGAGATGCTTCTGATCATCAGATCATCCTGGCTGCACCATTCTGCTCCTGGAGCTTCCTGTGTGTGTGGACTTAAAGAAAAACGCCTGGACAATCTGCCAGTGACACCCTATCTCCCAGTCCTCATTACAGAGGCATCTCCAGCTTAGAGACAAAGTGCACAACAGGGCCTCTTGGAGCCGTTTCAAGGGCGTCTTAAGATCCTGCTGTTCACCAAAGCCTGTTGTCTTTGAAACATAAACCTCCAAAAAGTTATGGAGACCCCTCCTCACTCTTAGAGGAATGGAGGGAACATCCTGAAATACCCCTGGCATTAGGACACCTGTGCTGAAGTGTCTGTTGTGAGAGACAATATGGTAGTCTCAAGGGGATCTTCTTGATAAATTTAGAGTCTTTGTGCCTCCTGCAGAACAAACAGCACGAGGACACGAAGTCTCCCTCACACAGCGCAAGATCTGTCAAATGAATCAGCTAGATTCAATTTACAGAAAAACGTTTTTAGTAAAAAGCTGAGGTTTAACAAAGATCACATCTGGGGAAGACACTTGAAGTAGGCATGAAAGATAGAATCAACCGAACCATCTCAGTTCAGAGTGAACACAAACATCCCAGTTTTCAAGCAGAATCAAACAGCTGCTGTTTCACCACTTTACTCATTGTTCACTGGGTTTACAGCACGATCTCTCTGGGAGGATGCAAACAAACGACCTGAACAGTAGGGAAGATGCAACGCACTTCTAACGACAGATAAATCAGCTAGTCAGATAATGCCTTCCAATCAGGAGCAAGATGACATCATGAACCGGACATGTGCAGCATTGCTCTGGCCACTTTCTGGCCGGTTCTCTCTAAAATAGATACCGAAGCTTTAGAAATATCTAAAACTGTCTTGTTTGCATAAACAGTAAAGAGCTGTAGCAGGTTTAAGGCTGATCGTGATTCTCCTTCTGGAGGTTACACCAGCTGGTCGTGCACGACCTGATTTTTTTCACGTGCTGCCCAGATCCCACTGAGTCTGCAGGAATCGGTACGACTGGGAAACGGCTAAGAACGCACAGATAGTAATACAGAAATGTTCTAAGTAGCGGAAAAAAACGGGAACTTCCTAGTTTTGAAATGAAAATACACTTCCTCTCTGTTAATCTTCTTCCTGTGCTGTTCTGGACGGATTAATGGACGGATAGATGGCCACCTGTTGGAAAAGTGAAAGTCATCGTTCACCCAACATTGAGGGTATATTTAGTTTCTGTTCATTTGATCATGAAGCCTGAACTTTGACCATCCCCTTTTGCCATCTATTCTCAGGACAATGAAACCAGCAAAGGCTGCTCCATCTACGCCTACCAGGCTAACTCTACCTCTCCACCCAAACCAGAAGAGTGCTCCAGGGTGTTTGGGACGCCGGAGCGGCGCAAAGGAAGCCTCGCAGACGTGGTGGATACTTTGAAACAGAAGAAGCTTGTGGAGCTGACCAAGACAGAACAAGACGGTAAGAGGAAGATGTGTGTGTGTGTGTGTTCTCACAAATCTGTTTGTGTTAATCAGCCATAAACTTCAGGGTTTCTCTGAAAATATTTTGGTTTAAACGATTTTAAATGATCAGCAGTTTAAAGGAGTCACTAACTCGTTGTTTCAATAGATCTGCTGTGGTGGCCTGTAGTAAGAATGAATGCATCTTGAGTTGTTTTTTTAGAGGAAACAAAGCTCTGGTGCTCCTGTTTCAGGGGTTAAAGTTTGTCGGGGATGTTTTGCAGTCTTACTCATTTATATTCCTGATAATTGAACAACAGCAACATGACTTTACTACTGACTATGTTTACTTAGCAACACTGATGTTTTATCTCCATGAATAACACAAGCCTGAAGAGCTTCTGCTGTGTGGTTTAGGTGCTAATGCTAACTAGCTTCAACTAGCAGAGACATTCTCCTTTGTTTCCTGGATGCTAAAACAACAACAGCCTTCCCCGTCGTGAGCCAGGAGAGGTGACTCCATGAATGCTAATGTACAGTGTGACATAGATCTGTGTGGCTTTTCCGACCCAAGCATTTCCTCGTCTATTTTCTTTGGCAGCTGATGCAGGAAGAAGAATATTTTCATGTTCAGCCTGCATGTTAGACTCAGAGGAACTGATCATATTTAAGAAAGAAAGTTTTATAGGTTTCTCAGTGAACAACCCTTTCAAGATTTCTTATTTCCACCACTGTCTAACTCTACAGTAATCAGAACAAGAAAAAAAAGAGAACAATCAACAGTTTCAGAGACGAGGTCCTGCCTCAAGTGGAGGAGTTTAAGTATCTCTGGGGCTTGTTCACGAGTGAGGGAAAAATGGAGCGTGAGACTGACAGGGGGATTGGTGCCGCGTCTGCAGTGATGCGGGCGTTGTACTGATCTGTCGTGGTGAAGAGAGAGCTGAGCCGGAAGGTGGTCACGAGCTCTGGGCAGTGACAGAAAGTATGGGATTGCGGTTACAAGTGGCCAAAATGAGTTTTCTCCGCAGGGTATATGGGCTCTCCCTTAAGCCTGATTTATGCTTCTCTCTCTGCGTCAGTGCGGAGACACGCAACGCCATTATCCGTCCTTGCGTAGGGCACGCAAGTACGTATGGAGTCGAGCCCACTTTTTTAAATATCCGTTGAACGAAACGGATTACGCAAGCTTGTGATTGGTCAGGATGCCGCTGTTGTTTACAGTGCCGCCATTGCACAGAGAGCCGAGTTTAACTAGCGGCAGACACGGAGAAGCTTGAAGAATACCTCGTGGAAAACTCTAAAAATACGAACGTTTAATTCTCCCGTGACTGGAGGAGTGAAAAGATGCGAAGCAAGCGTTTTATTTGTGGACGGAAATTACAGGAAACGTGGGTTTAGAGGTGGGGAGCGCATGAAGCGGTGGGAGAATGAGAGACAAATATGTCCATGTTAAAAGTCTCTTATATACACAAAAACACAATATAAACACACGATCTTGGACCGATACATGACAGGATACCACAGAACAGCGCCACGCCCTCTGTGGTCCTGTCAGGCAATATTGCTTTGCAACACTCCAGGAGATGGAGAAGTAAAAGAGCAAAACGCTTCCGTCAATCCGTGCGTGTCTGTCCCGACGGAGAAGATAAACCAGGCTTTAGAGATAGGGTGAGAATCTGGGAGGGGCTTGGAGTAGACCCGCTGCTCCTCCACATTGAGAGGAGCCAGTTGAGGTGGCTCGAGCAATCGGTAAGGATGCCTCCTGGACACCTCCCTGTTGAGGTTTTCCGGGCACGTCCAAATGGGAGGAGACCCAGGGAAAGACCCAGGACACCCTGGAGGGACTATGTTTCTGGGCTGGCCAGGGAACGCCTTGGGATTCCTCTGGAAGAGCTGGTCCAAGTAGCTGGGGAGAGGGAAGTCTGGGAGGCTCGGCTTAAGCTGCTGCCCCCGTGACCCAACTCCAAATAAGCAGCTGAAAATGGATATGGATGGATGGACGGATGGATGGACAATCAACAGTTGTGAATAATCCACTTTCTACTTGAATTACTGAATCTGATTGAGTGTTACAGCAGAGACAAAGAGAATAACACTAACAATAACACAAGTTCAAAGCTAACAGTTCTAAGGATTGATTGGTGTGTGTAAAAAGAAATGTAAACCTGTTTAGAAGTGTGTCACTGATTTTGCTTTCAGGGTGAATAGTTTATGTTTAGCAGGACTGAGAAGCTTGTCTGACTACGGCCCATGCTGGACCTGGGACGATGATATGTTGTCCAGCAAATTATTGATGATAAATGATATTATTGTCGACATTATTGAGACCAAAATAACCACTTATGTAATGTTAATGTTAATGTTGTGAGTCATACACCTAAAATGGCGCTAAGGGGGCGTGGTTGACATGCAGGTCACGTGTCTGACAAAAGCCGATATATCGAGGCTGGAAAAATTATTGAGTTCATTTTCATCTATCATACAATTAATTGATTTACTGATTATTGTCCCAGCCTTAGCTAATTACAAAGTTTATTGCTGCTTTCTCCAGTTTCTAACTATTTCACAGTGCTATCTGTACACACCTTCAGCAATGTTTTATTAGCCTTCATTGTATTAAATGTTCCAATTTGTAATGCCCATGAATGTTAATGCTTTAATTCTGCAATAATGAGGATAGCACAGGCTAGACTTTTCCAAACTAACTCAAGTTTGATTGTGTTTTTATGTAAACAACAGCTCTAGATGAATGAATCAATGTTTGCTGTAAATATGTCCCTTTGATGCACCATAAACATCTTTCACTCCTACTTCTGAAGTCAGACCAAACCATGGTAGCTGGATGTTTTGCTTTCTCTTTCCTCTTCAGAGGATCTTTGAACATGTGAAATTACAAGTGTTGCATCCCTGACTTGTCAGATCACAAAATCAGTCAGTGAAAACACAAGTTTCCCATTTCTCTTCTGGTCCTCTCATTTAACACTTTTTCCAGCAGGCCTTGACTCGCCCTCTTCCCTCCCCAGAGCCAGATCTAAAGCCATCTAACACCCTTCTTTACTATTATGTGCAGATAGTCATCAGGAGAATATTAGAGGAGCACTTGATCTTGCCCATTTAGAGGTTTTTACCTTGTTATTGATACTGTAAAGTGGGCCAGAATGGGACAGCCAGAGGCTCAGTATACAGTCGAGTGGGCTGTGTGTGTGTGTGTGTGTGTGTGTCTGTGTGTGTGTGTGTGTGTGTGTGTGTGTGTGTGTGTGTGTGTGTGTGTGACACCTCCTGGTTAGAAACAATTACATCTGCAAGTTAGCTAAAGATTTCTATGTAAATGTTGGGTTAAACCAACCAGTCATAATTTTTCCTGTAATCTTTAACTTGAAATTATTCACAAGCACACACATAAATTATATATATATATCTATCTATCTATCTATCTATCTATCTATCTATCTATCTATATATATATATATATATATATATATATATATATATATATATATATTAGGGTTGGGATCTGATTAAAAAAGCAATCTAATTAATTAAAGGCTTTGTAATTAATTAATCTTAATTAATCGCTTTTTAATCGTTTGGGTAAATGTGACCTCAAAGCCATTTTTAAAATTAAAAATAATGAGGCAGAGAATCAAACATTAGACATGGTTATTATTACTGTAATACATTTTCTAACTTTTATCACCAGATCATGATGAAAAATTTATGATCTCATGGCTGAGCGGTGAACAGGTGAGCATATTTCTTACATAGGAAGTCCCACTGTCACGTCAAGAAGGGGATGGCTGTAGACCCGCAGATTCACGTCTACAGCAGCAAATCTGGTGTGATCTCCAGCGTGAACACAACTTTCTCATTCTTCGCTGCCTCTGATGCACTTAAACATTCGCCCCTTTAGCTCCCCATCAGCTGATGACCGCAGAATTTTTTAGAAAATAATCAGAGAGTGTTTCTGTTACTTTAAGACACGTTGTTTGTGATTGTTTACTGAGTTGTGAGGAAACGGAGCATTTTCCCAGCTGCAGCCAGGTGCCTCTCATTTGTCTGACTTTGCTGTTAAGAGCACAACATCATTCTGTCTGGTGCTTTCAGCGCTGCACAGATGTCACATAAATGTTAAAAAATTAGCTTGCCTTGACTTTTGTAAAGTCTCCTGTACCACTGACCCGGCAGCAGTAGCAGCAGAGATCAGAGGCGATCTCTGAAAAATGTCTGCGTCACGGACTCCGTAGTTTTCAGGAATTTCAAAAAACATTTTTTACAAGTTAAGAGAAGAAGCTGACATGTTTCCCAAAATACTGCATCAGCCCAAGCAAGGCAATTTCATCAAAGCATTCCATTTTAGCAGGTGTTGGCTGAGCACTGTGCACTGTCGTGTGCGTCAGTGATATTCGGTGTACCAGGAAATCATGCAATGACAGTGGTTCCACCTTGTTTGAAATGCAAGCTGTGAATAAATGCATAAACTTTTGTTATTTTGTCATCTTCTTCTAATTAATCATAATTAATGCGTTAAAGTCCTGCCTCATATATATATGAGATATATATATATATATATATGTGTATATTTATATTTATATATATATATATATATATATATATATATATATATATATATATATATGTATATGCTACTAAAATGGATGTGTGTGTGTGTGTGTTTTAGCTCTGTTGGTTGCTTAGAAGTGCGTGTTAATGAACAAGAGGTGTTTCTTCCAGCCATAATCATGGAAGTAGTGAGAGGGGCTTAAGGTGCAGTACATTTTTCCACCTCTAGATGGTGACATCTGAGAAAATAACTCCAGATTTCTGCTTTAAGAAAACAAGACTATACATTTTTGTTAGGACTCTGACTGTCTAACGAAACATGAAGAGTGAAACTCACACATGGATTTATACCTCCAAATTGAATTAATATCCCTTGTTTTGGGTAAAATTCCAAATTCTCTGTAAGTTATTTGTTACCCAACCAACTGGACAGACATGTAACTCAATATTTATTCAGAATTACCCAACAATGAGAGCCCTGCAGTGTCTGAAACACAGGATCCCTACTGTACCAATGTTTGTGTTTTTGCTTCAACTGAAAACATTCAGACACATATGCTTTCTATTTTTTTGACAATGCTGATTCTATTTCGTCTAGTCTTAGCCCTTAAGCTAGCTGCTATTGGAAGGATCATCTCAGCATCAGCCAATCATGAAGAGCTTAAATGTATGCCCACCAATGGTGGGCACCCCTGTGGGTGTATAAGTGGAGCGACTCCACTGTTCGCCTCCGTTATCTCTTCAAGCCAAGCTTAAGAGCTTTCTTTAAGAGCAATTATCCAAGAACAACAGTCTACTCACCTACCATGTCCAGCAACATCAGGACCTGCCCAGCCTGCCAGACGGGCTGCATCTCCAGCGGCGACCTGCACGCCAAATGTGAGGTCTGTCTCTTGGGCTCACCACGCTGGCCTGGTCTTGACCCCCCAGGCCTCGTGCCCGTTTTGTGCCGCTCTGCCCGTGGCTGAAAAGATCCGCCGGGTTGAGTACTTCACCCCCGCCGCCGACGAGGAATTTCCGCTGGAAAGGCCTTACAGTTTTTCAACATTGGCAAGGAGCCGGCTGGCTCCAACCGACTGGACGATGTCATCGACCGTGAGGAGTACGACGAGGCTGGCTGCCGTGGCCCTTCTTCCCTCCTGGACAACACAGAGGTTGACGAGCCTCCCCCAGCGGGTTTCTCTGCTCCAGTGACTTCTCGCTCCTCCCTCCAGCAGTTAGAGCACTGCTCCAGGAGCTGCCTGCCATCATCTCCGCGGCTGTGGTCTGCAAGGGGCTAGCCGTGCTAGAACCGGCTCCGCCTGAAGCAGATGATTTGGCGGGAATTTTCGGGGCAACACAAACACGCTGTTGAGACCCCATCTGGCCGCGCTTCCCCGCTGCCATGAGCTGCTGGTCCGCCGCCTTCTCCGAACCTGCTAAGCTCAAGGCGCCAATTTCCAAATATGCGCCCATTACCAAAGTCGAGGGCTTCTCCGACCAGGGCTGGCCATCCGTTCCTCCACTGGAGCCGGACTTGGCCTCGCTGTTTGGCGCCAAGAACCACCTCGCTGGCCCCCGAGCAGTTCTTGCTTCTAAGCATGACCGTCCTCTGGCGCGGCTCACCCATCGCGCACACCAGTGCGCCTTCCAGACCGGCGCTGCAGGAAATAACATCGCCCTTCTTGCCTTTGGCGTTTCCAAAATGGTGGAAGAGCTTGATGCTCCTGACGAGTCAAAAGCCATCATTACTAAAACTGCTGATGCCATTCTCAATCTGTGCGCTGCTGTACTCACCGGTTCTGCTCGCATTGCTGCCTGGCAGACCCTTATCCAGCGGACGTTGTGGCTCAAGGCCCTGCCCTCCATTCCTGAACACCTGCACAGAGAGATGCTGGAAGGCCCCATCACCTCTGACGTTCTGTTTGGTCCCCATCTTAGGAACGTCATCGAGAGGGCTCATAAGTCACCGTCTTGAATCTCACAGTCACAAGAACCTAGCCGAAAGCAACCACGAAAATGACTCGTTGGGGGGAATGTGTGTGCTTCTGACTGTAATGTTAACTCTGTGAATGATTTTGGTTTTGAAATAAAACCCAAAAAACATCACTTTGAGAGCACAAAGCCTGTTTGTGCACTACAGAGATTCTTCCCTTTGGCAAGCGCTGTCGATCCAGCGTCTTTCACACTGGCTGTGTGACGCCATTTCACTCGCTTACACATCATCAGGCCGGTATCCTCCTGAGACACTCAGGGCTCACTCAGCCAGAGGGATTTCCTCTTCTATGGCGCTCCACAGTGGTGTGTCGATGGAAGACATTTGTCAGGCTGCTTCATGGGCTTCACCCTGTTCCTTTACTCGTTATTATTTACCAGATGTGTCTTCAGGATCCATCACTCGTTCAGTGCTTGGACCTCAGCAGGCTGAGTGAGAGCATTATGGCACCACATCAGCCCTACTTGAATGAATTCCATCCTATTGTGGATGATATTTTTTAGTGGGGGCCCCACTCTTCTCTCTGGCTGCCTCAGCCTTTTAAGCTCTGGGCTGAGGCTGAGCGACCCTCGCTACAAGGAGACACGTTGGGTGTGTCCATTGGTTGTGTTAACCAGTGTGGCGTAAACCCATCCAGCTGTGCATTATTCCAATAGCAGCTAGCTTAAGGGCTAAGACTAGATGAAATAGAACGGTGGTTACGTATTGTAACCCCAGATTCTATAAGTCTAGTCGCAGCCCTTAAGCCACTGGCCCCACTGGTTCTGTTAGGACTAAGAGCCATCGGAGGCGAACAGTGGAGTCGCTCCACTTATATACCCACAGGGGTGACCACCATTGGTGGGCGTACATTTAAGCTCTTCATGATTGGCTGATGCTGAGATCACCCTTCCAAAAGCAGCTAGCTTAAGGGCTGCGACTAGACTCATAGAATCTGGGGTTACAATACGTAACCAACGTTCTTGTCTCTTGTCTTATAAATTAAAATTTAAAGCTTTTGATTTCAATTTGTTCAAGTGGTTTATTTTATAACACGTGAAAAATTTGACCTTCTTTTGTAGATATTTTTGGCTTCAATAAAACTATTTAGAAATAAGAAAAAGCACAAATGATGATTTTGATCATAACAGATTTCTAATTAAAACAAAAAACATGATGCATCTCATGGATGAAACGTGTAGAACAATAAAAGCCTTTTGAAATATTTTCACCAAGTTCCAGCAAAAACTCATTTTCTGTATTCTTTCCATTTTGTAATGGGGGGGGGGGGGGGGGGGTTGCAGCTCTGTATTGACTCTGGCTTTCCCTTTGCTAATTACCATGGCTGCCATCCCCCAGAGAACTAACAAGAGGCATTGATCGTGCTGCAAACACTCAGACTAAATCAAACAAGAGGAGCACGTGCGACGTGAGCGGGCCCACCTCATCATAGGGCGGCGGCATGAATGGGCCCGGTGAGGGTGGGATCTGTGAATCACTGTGATCCTTGAAGGCACATTGTAAAACCGCCTTTCAGACAGAGCCGTGCTGCAGCGTTCCATTTAGAGCCCACGTTTGCAGATCTACAACCACCTTAGCTTCTTTATGCCTGATGAGCTCAGTCAAAATGAGACGAGGTGAACCATAGATGGCAGAAGCTGAATGCTTCATTAAAGTAGTTCTTCCTGTGTGTGTGTCCCCCCCTCCCCCTCCACCACCACACACACCCTTTCTCTGTTTCTTCAGATTTATCTGTTTGAATACTGCTTCTTCCTCTAATTGTGCCTTTTTCCTCTTCATCATTACCATCTTGTTCTGGTTTTTCTTGACCTGATGGAAGACGTCCTTATTTTCTTGTGTCTGCCCTTCATCATCAGGACCTGCTTTATTTTATTTTAAGGAATTTCTAAACCCAGAGTTGGCCATCCT